AATCTTCTATTTTCCAACTTGTTAACCATATTATGCAAGAAGAAGAAGGTTCCTAAGGATCACTTCGAGGATTACATTAAACCAAAGGAGGGTATTACCAAGAAAAAGGTCTCCGAATTAATGAGTTTCAATGACGATAACCCACAGGAAGGTTTGGAACGAGGAGCAAAATCGGTTAACACGGCTAGAATGGTTGATGTGGTCACACACACTCGAGAAACGCGTGAAAAGATCGATCTCCTGGAGGACCATAGGAAATTTACTTCGAGTATGTCAAGGCTAGGGATATACAACTAAATGCATTCTTTAAGGAGTTGCTCCTGAACACAAACATCAGACTACCTACTTCATCACTGTTATCCTCAAATACAATACGGGCGGCAGCACATTCCATGCCTCGACATCGCATGCCCCTCCAAAATCTCCCACAGAAGTACCCGTTGATGTGCCGCCACTAGCAACCCATGTCCCACCTGTACCAGAAGAAGGCCAAGGCGGTACAGAAGAATTCCTCAGCTCCTCCTCCTTTTCAACCTCTGACAGCAGTGATGATACTCCACCCCACTTCTTCACTGACGAAGATTTCACACCAGCACCGAAGCAACCCGAGCATTATCCTATTTAGTCCCCTGTTCAACCAACACCGTCAATCCCAGCAGCAGTTCCTAGTCCAGCACCAGTCCTAGCACAACCAACTCCTATGACAGAGCAATCCACTCCAGCACAACCCTCGACAAGCAAGAAGCGCTACAAGAGAACGGCATGCAGTAAACTCTGGATCCGAGAGTCCATCTCCTCCTAAACGACGCCGAATAAGGGCATCCAGTCAAGCCACCCCACCACAGTGAGTCTATACTTTAGTTTTTTTTTCTTTTTTCATCTGCATATAACATCATGTAATTTAGTTTTCATGCATTGAGGACAATGCATCTCTCAAGTTTGGGGGAGGTATTGTACTATATTCTGGTATACTTTGATATAAAGCAATTGATGTTAATTGGTTGAAATTTTTTGTTGTCATGATATAAACAGGTTGAGATTATTGTTAGGAATGAATTAGGGATGCCCAATGATGAATGCAAAATTTTATTGCCTAGGCCATAATTATTGTTAAGACTGTCTAAAGAAGAGAACCAAACCTAGGCTTAATTCTTTGAAATTTATAAACACGATTGTAGGTTGTTTTTGCTATAGGTAATTTGTAAAATTTTTAGGAAATAACTTTCTATTTGCCGAGACTTCAAAAATATTCTAAGGGTAAAGTGAAAACTCTCTAGTGTTTAAAAACTTGAAAAACTCGAAAATACAAAGGGACACTCCTCTGTGCAAAGGCATGAACAAGAAAAACTCCAAAAGAAATTAATAGTAGTAAAAGCATATGAGTGAATGAAAGTAGTCACAGGATGACTCTACTCGACTAGCTTGGGGGTGGAAGGTATGATCCCTTTCACCCAGAGTGTGAAACGGTAGGTGTGATGAGCTGACTCCCCTAAAAAATGAATAAAGAGAATAAAAGTTGATAAATAACTAGGAGTATAAACTAAGCCTGATGAATAATTTGTTGTCTTGACAAACCAGGAGTGCTTACTTTAAGTTTTCTAATTACCTCTATGCATAGACTGGTTACAATCACGCACACACAATAGCAAGGGATCCTAACTAGGGAAGGGACTTGACTGATATGACTGTCAACATGTTGAGACTAAACAATTTTGCTGAGGGCTAAAATCTCAAACCAAATGATTTTCTTAATACTGCTTTGCCATGATAATTTTAATTCTCTTATAGCTATTATCCATTACTTGAGGACAAGCAATAGTTTAAGTTTGGGGGTGTGATAACTCCATAAAAAGACTTAATTCCTAGTCTTTTCACTTAAGTTATTGCTCGTCTAGAAAAAGTGTGCACTGCATTTTTAGTTGCATATAGGTTATATTAGTTTGTGGTGGATAAGTTTTGCTTAGGCAATATTTATTTGGTTTGACTGATGTTGCTGAAGAGACAGGGTTATTTGGGTTGTGTTTGTGCAGGAATCCTACAGTGGAAGAACATTTCAGTCGTGACAATGTAAAATTACAAAGGACAACGGAACATATGAGAACGTGAGGAGTAGATTTATCTGTTGAGGTAAGATTTATTTGAGAAAGTCTAAAGCAGGTGTGGCGAAACCACCTATGTCACACGCCAGCTGGATAACCTACTTCACGTGCAAGAAAGCCTCAATTATTTTGACAGCCGCCAGATGCCTTTCCTTTTTAAGTCTGGGAAATTAATAACGGCTAGTTAAGGAAACTCCAAAAGTAGACAAAGACCTAGGAGATTTTTCCTTATAAATAACCAGACGTAGCTGGAAAAAATAGGGGAGGAGGGAGAAGAGAGAAGAGCTTTACCTAAGGCGTGAGCAAGCAACTGCAGTGCTTTCCCACCATCTATCCACCAACCTTCCTTGGTGTCCTCCATAGCCAGACGATAGTATAGCAGTGATCAGGCCTCGAGAGAGGCTGATCACCAAGGCAGGCGCGGTGCTTATTAGGATTGTCGCGACATAGCCCCGATTTTGGTAGTCATTCTTTCTTGTTTTTAACTCTTATTTTATTTGGGGTTGTATTAAATGTTGAACCTTGGATGTTCTTTGATAGCACCATGAATGCTTTACTTGGTGTTAAACTTTGTTTTGCCTGAACAATATTGTTATGTTTATGAATGATGAATTATGTTTGTTTATGATTGTTTTGCTTATAGTTTAAATATTTTACCTTCGAGAGATAGCCTTGGGTTTTAGTAAAACATGTCTTGGCATTGTAAGAGCACTGAGAGATAGTCTTTTGTCTAGATAAGTGATTCTTAAATTCAAGAGAATTAAGATAGATGAACGTGAGCAATGGAATGAATCTGGGATGGTGAAGTTATAACTTGTCTACCTTAGAGATAAGGAGAGAGTTTCAAACGACTAAAAGGGATAGATGCTAGAGTATGATAGACAACATCTATAGTTAACGCTGAGAGGTATTGTCATAGCAATTGTCTAAAAATACCTAGTAATCCTGTCAGGCAGCTTTAGTGAGTCATAATAATTCATTTTAAATAGAGAATAATTGTTTTCAAGACAATAGTTTAGCATAAGTTCTCTGTGACACGTCTGAATATGTGAGGTTGTTAGCATTATATTTAAACCATCACTTGTTTTGTTAGTCTGCATATTTATTTTGTCTCAACCAAACTTTTTTGAAATCGTTGAATCATTTTTCTTAGTTCATTAATATTAGTTCTTAGGATAATACTTAGTAGGAATTAGTTTGTGACATTAGTTCTAGTTGTGGTGAAAATATATTTCTAATCCAATCATTGTGGAGACAATACTCACTCACTACTATATTATTTGCATCGATTGTGTATACTTACATAGATTTGGTTGCCTTAGCATATACATTTACAAGCGATCAGATAACCTCAAGGAGAGGTATATTGATTTTCACCTTCCGAAATACGTCTAGTATTTCCTTTTCCTCAACTTGTTTATCCCTTTTCACTAACATTGATGGAAAAGGTGGTGGTACGTCATAGGGAGATGGCGTTGGATTCATTTGTTCTTTGTCACTCTTATTTTGAGATCCTGAATCACCAGTCTTCTTCTCGTTTTGGATTTCTTTATCTGATGGAACATGTGGCACCACTACTGTACCACTCCGAAGATAATCTAACATTCTCCCTTGGGTTTACCTCGGAGATGGAAGTTTACCTTGTGATTCCAAACAGCCTACGGTTTGAGTCAGTTGTCTCATTTGCTTGACTATTTCTTGTAAGTGGGCTTCAGTATGAATCTAGAATTTTTCCTGGGAATGTGCTAACTCTCGAAAATTGACTCTTATGATGTCTTCTATGGCTGTTGTGGTGGTGGAGGTGGTCTCGCTTGATAACATTGATTTGGTCTTGAGTTCTGAGCGTAACTGAAATTCAGATGATCCCTCCATCGTAGGTTGTAAGTATTGCTATAGGGATTGTAAGCTCTTTGGGGAGGTCCTGGAAAGTTTCCCACTGCATTGACTTGAGCTGTTGCGTCATCTTGGATCAGTGGACAATTTCTATTGGATGATCACGTGATGCACATATTCCACATGATCTATTTGGTCGTTTCTTTCCTGCAACAAGAGAGTTGACGACTTCAATTAATTTATCTATATTATTTTCTAAATAAGATGAACTTATCTCATGAACCCTCCGAGGAGGTTTATTTTTTGCGCGGAACTGTTGGGAATTTACGGCCATCATGGAAATTAAGTCCCTTGCTTCACTAGGAGTCATGTTCACCATGGCTCGAACACTGGCATCATCGTTCATCTTCATCTCTAGGGGATTAATCCTTCATAAAAGTATTGAAAGAGTGTTTGTTATGTTAACTCATGTTGTTGACAACTAGCACATAACTTTTTAAACCGCTCCTAGTAGTCGTAAAGTGACTATCCATCAAGTTGTTTGATTCCAAGAATTCTCCTTCGCAATTCACTTACTCTTACCGCAGGGAAAATCCTGTCAAGAAAAAGACGAGTCATTTGAGCCCATGTAGTAATAGAATTAAGGGGTAGATAAAATAACCATTCCTTAGCCGATTGGCTAAGGTAAAAGGAAAAGCTCTAAGTTTGATTTGGTCCTCGGTTACTCCCTATGGTCTGATGCTGGAGCGGACCATGTGAAATTCCGTGAGATATTTATGTGGATTCTCATTTGGAAATCCATGGAACGTATGGAGGAGATGAATAAGGCCAGATTTTAACTGGTATGGAGTTTCACCTTGGGGAAAATCAATGTACAAAGGCTCTTGTTTAGTAGGTGCCGCGAATAACTCTATGATGGTAGGATCGGCCATTGGAATTAGTTCTGTATCAACGGATTCACCTGAATTTGATTTCGGATTCTGGATTTGATTGTTGTCTTCTTTTTTCCCGGAGTATCTATACGTGAAGTCTCCTAGCTTGTCTTCGATTTCTCTATTAATGCGCCCGAATTAGTCTTGGTCATAAATCAAAAACAAACAAAAAATTAGTAACTTTGGCATAGTCCCCGACAACGGTGCCAATTTTACAACTGTCGTTTTGATGTCAAAATAAATTCCTTCTTCTCGGTTAATAAATAAGGAAATTTGTAGTAAAGAGAAGTAAGGGTCGATTCCATAGGAACTTAGAAAATTATAAATTTCTATTTGAATGATTTTACCAGAAGATAAGTAGTGAAATGGGGGTTTGGTAAAAATATATTAAATAGTAAAAAGTGCTTTAAAATAAGAATAAAGAAATTGAATAATTAAACATTGAAAATAAATGTAGTAACAACAGCCTCAAGCTTCACTTTGACTAATTTCTTTAGATCATCAAATTAGATTTTCCCTTCGGGATTCACGTCGGTTACTTTGTCTACAAGGGCAATCCCCGTGACTCTATTTTGTATAATGAATACCCAAGGCAATCTTTGATTCCGGCTTCAGAAATTGATCTAATAAACATCAATTGTCATGGATCAATTTCCGTTTAAGTTCGTGGCAACCAACTTGGATTGTTTCTCCTATAACCGTCAATTTTGATCTCAATTCCCTCTTGGAGAAGTTATCTCTCCAAATGTGTTCCCATGAAGTCGAATGTGCTTTCTATAAGCCGAATCTTCCTTCCACACATTTAATCGCAAAAACCACTTAACCAAAGTTTATCTTTTGATTTTGAAAACTATTTTTATTTTTTAAAATAAGCGCAGAGATTGAGAGAGATATTTCGAAGATATTAAGGGCATATTTCAATTCTCTTGTTGGAATTGAGTCATCACTTTAGCTCTCAGCTTATGAGAAAATTTAGCTAAGCATGACAAAAGTTATACTTAGCATATTTAAAAACAAAGCTTGAAAATAAAAGAAAAATGAAAACTTGAAAAACAAAATAAAAGAGAAAGCTTTAATAAAACTAGAAAGAAGAAGAAGATTGTAATATGAGATGTGTGTTTAGGCTTACCCCAAGAGAGTATTTATAGCCTCTCAAAGCCTAAGGATAAACAAAACATTAAAATAAAATAATCCTAAAGATAATTGTTTTCTTCTAAATTCAAACTTTAAACAAGTCTCCTAATGCAACTATGCCCGTCCATCTTCCAGAATGCGCGCTGAGTAGATCTTCTAGAAACAACCGCTGACTAGATCTTCTAGAAATTGCCACGTCAGACTGCATCGTGCCCAGAGTCGTGCCCATGTCTCCAGCCGTGACCAAATAATAAAAAAATGCAGAATATGCCCGTTTTATCACTAATTCTTGAAAGTAAGACGCTGCACAAAAATAAACATAACACAACTAAATCAGCATCAATAAATCCACAAGATCGAAGAAATAACAAGCAAATATTAACGATTTTGAACACTCTTCAGTAACATACATTCATTCATCAATTTCAATGCTTATAACTCAATACCTTACCGGGACTCACTCAAATCACTCAATGTGTATGGGGTAAAGAAACGTTCAATGTCAAAACCGACACGATATTACCATAGGCCTGCAAGTAAATCAAATCTTCTCTACTAATGAGAACAAGATGCATAAATCAAAGGGTCTTTTATTGTTTGTAACAGGGCTTAGGTAAAGCTGAGGAAAATGCTAAATATATTACTAAACATTCAAGGAAATGAACTAACAAATAATAAGTTTAACTCCATCAAAGCACAATAAGATAAAAAGACAATCTATCAAACAACAAATTTCTTTTCGAAATGCATTGGATTTTTTCCTCTTTGTTGTTGTTTCGTTTTCCTTTTTTCACGTCTTTTTTTCTGAACAACTTTATTTTCTTTTGAAATACTACTATTCTTTTCTTTTTTTTTTTTTTGGAGCATACATCAGATTGACTATTCACTTGCCCTGAAAAGGGTAGAAAAAAGGGATAAAATAAAAAGGCTTGGGTTTATAAATGTGGTGAAAACAAAGAAATAGGCTCAAAAGTGGTTAACTAGGGGGAAAATGCATGGTAGGCAATTTAGTGGGGGAAAACGGAATGGTTAATCCTAAGGTGCCTAAATCATTTTAAGCATCATGTTCATGTGTAATCTCGACAGTATTTAAAATGCAGGTTATAGAATACCAATTTCAAATTCAAAACACTCAATCTAACAAAATGAGAGCAAAAATGATATGCTCGTAAAGGCACAAATCTCACCAAATTGTTTCATGCATTGAGCTAATCACATTTTAACAACAAAATCATGAAATATCACAAAAATACCAACTTGATCACAATCTATGCTATTCCCTATCAAGAACACCCTAACCTAAACAATCATGTGTTCCCAAACAAGCATAGCATTCCAAATATTTTCAACCAGACAAAGAAATTCAATGAAATTTTCGCAAATCCAACCAACATACTAGCATCAACACATAAAGATAAGCAAAAGGGAAATTCAACCTACACTCTACTCCTCCTTACTTAAAGCGTTTTGCCTCAAAACGTAAAATTAAAGTGCAAGAGAAGGAATAGAGTACTCCCTAGATTTAATGTGAACCACGGCCGCGGTGGGAGGCGCTGGGACGTAGAAGTGGGGGTGCCCGATTTGATATCGTGAATGAAAAAACATCATCAGGTGTACGGTAGGTGGAAAACAAGCACCAAAATCCTCTGTAAAACCATAAATAGGATGGTACATTAGTAATAATTGAATGGAAATAGGATCGAAATTTACCTCATGAGTGTTTTCAGATGGTGTCGAATGTATGTAGCACGACAAAAAAATTCGATGGGCGTGGATGAGAGAAAGAGGAGGCCACGGTTGGCATGTACTGGAAAGACGATGATGGAGAGTGTGGCGAATATGGAAGGCGGACAGTGCTCGATCCGGGGCGGAGGAAGGCAACATCACCCGATTGGTTTCTTATCCACACCATTATGGAGTGGAGAGCAGTGGACGGGTTAAAGCACGTTAGCATGAACGTATTGGTTCGGTAAGTTCTGTGACTGTGATGAGAGAAAGAAACGATAGAAACGTATTGTTGGGGAGAGGCAATCAGTTTGGAGAAGATGAAAGGGGGTTGGGCTAAATTTGTTTTTTGCCATGCGTGGGGTGTTGGAGTCAAATTGGTTTTGTTTTCAATGAGAAATAAAGGGAATGCAAAAGTAAAAAGGAGATAAAGATATGGGTAGTAGGGTCCACGGTCAAAGGGAAAGGAATGAGAAGAGTGTATTAAGGAGTGGGGGCGGCAAAAAGTTAACAAAAAGGGGGGAAACAATTTGGGTTTTGCTAACGTGCGCCGGTCTCCTTAGAATTATGCTAATGTGCGCCGTGGGAAGTCAATGGTATCGATACTACTATATAGAGTAGTATCGATACCATATAATGGTATTGGTACCATATTTTAATTTTGTTTCCACGGTATCGATACTACCTTTACGGTATCGGTACTATACTACTTTGCATGACTTATACTGCTCCTGGAGTCCTAATTTGGCATTGTTCGGATGATAACTTCACAAATCTTCATTGTTTAAGTTTGAAAAACATTCGGTTCATGCAAAATAATAATAAAAATTAAATGAAACATGCTTAATCGAAATAAAAATAAAATTAAAAATAAAAAATGTAACAAAATTAAAACAATGGGTTGTATCCCATGAAGCGCTTTTGTTTATCGTCGTTAGCTCAATGACCTGATTCAGACTCAGGTTCTTAGAGAAATACTTCATCCACTTCATACGCTTTTTCCAACTAAGAATTTCATTATGAGAAATTCTACGATCGAATAATTTTTTATTTTCTCCTTGTAGAATTTGACATTCTCATAAGTTATTCTTTGGACCTTTTTTAGCTTTGAAAGCGTATCTGAAATAACCAGTGGAGTAGCATTTTCTCCTAAAAAGAACTCTTTAAGTTTTTCGGCATTTTTTCAATTCTATCTCAGGTGCTTGTAAAACAGAAGGGAGACCTTTAGACTTAGAAATAATCAAATATAAATCAGAATGAATAGAAAATAAATTTTCCAACTCCCTAATTTCCTCATTGTGGTCTTCTAACTCCCTTCATAGATCAAAAGATACATTAGTTTCTATAAAATCATTTGTCAAAGGATCAATAATATCAACATAATTTATGCTCGTCACTTTGTCTCGGTGTTTCATTGCCTTATATATATCAAATTTAACGATCTCACCATCAAACTCTATGGTTAAAGTCACGTTTCTTACGTCAATCTTTGTGTGCAAAGTACTTAAGAAGGGACTCCCTAATAGAATATCGGAAGAAGTACTGGTGCGATCATTCTCCGTATTAATTACATAAAAATCAGCGGGAAATATTAAGTCATTTACTTCCACCAACACATTTTCTAAGTGTCCTTCCGGGTAAATGACAGATCTTTCAGCAAGTTGAATTGATATTTTTGTATCCTTCAAGGGCTCATTAGTAATCATATTGTAAACAAAGAGAGGCATTACATTAATAGAGCCGCCAATCACATGGCTCGTTTTATCTCAAATTTACCAATTTTATAGGGTATTGCGCACATACCTTGGTCTTTCAGTTTTGGTGGTAACTTTTTTTGGAATACAATTGAGATATGTTCTCCTAGATTTACCTTCTCGTTCCCGATAAGTTTTCTCTTTCTTGTACAAAGGTCCTTCAAAAACCGGGCATACCTTGGAACTTTTCGGATAACCTCAAGGAGGGGTATATTGATTTCCACCTTCTGAAATATGTCTAGTATTTTTTTCCTCATCTTGTTTATCTCTTTTAACTAACCTCGATGGAAAATATGGTCGCACATCATATGGAGATGTCATTGGATTTGTTTGTTCTTTGTCACTCTTATTCTGAGATCCTGAATCATCACTCTTCTTCCCTTTCTAGACTGTTTCATCTGATTGAACATGTGGCACCACTACTGTACCACTTCGAAGAGTGATGGCGCTGACATTCTCCCTTGGGTTTACCTCGATTTGAGATGGAAGTTTACCTTGTGATTCCAAGCGTCCTACGGTTTGAGCCAGTTGGTT